GTCCTGAAACTGATCTACTAAGCATTCTGAGATGGACCTGCTGTTCTGATACAATCTCCCCAACAGCTTACAAAATACAAATTCAAATTTCAAAATACAAATTTCTCTATTCCCGAGGTTGCTGACCATATTGTAACTGAACCACAAACACAAGCTGCTTTGCTGGCTTTTTGGAAAAACAATTTTCATCGGAATAAACCCAAAATTGGCACTTCCTACCCTTGAAACCCAGATTTTTACAATGTGAATTCCCTTAGCGATCTAGTGAGCTAACCTACATCTGATCTGATGGAGGTCATAGCTGACCCACTGCCTCCCAAGTTCCTTTTGACACTCCTTTGGAGACCACACTCCCAACCAGGACTTGCAGAATGTTAACTGCAGTCTTTTCCCCTAATGTCAAAGGAAAATGTAGCGTGGGAAGAGGATTCACGAGGCTTTTCACCAAGTGTTAATGGCTCAGGCAGCTGCAGACATTTACAATCCAAAGACTGGTTAACAAGAGAGAGGGCTTGCTAGCAACCCAGCCACAGCTTGCCTTCCTATTTCCAGCACATCCTCAAAACTGTGTTTGGAACCCTACTTACTTTCTTGTAAATACGCTACTATCAACCCCGCACTGCACTTTAAAATAAAACCAAGTCTTTCAACGGCTTTTCCTAAGGTATAAAAAATTGTGGTAACAGCTTGACCCGGTATTCCCACCCAACCAGTCCCAGCTTATCTGAACGGGGCAAATACCTAAGCCCCGTTCAGATCCCTCTCGACTCCTTACACTCCCCGGATCTATACTGAACAAGTATGCACTTGTCCATCCCGGCACCTCACCCCACACCCACAGCGCCCAGGCCCAGCTCTCCAAGTGTTTCAGAGTTCCACCCCAGGCCTAAGACGATTCAATGCTTCCTTCACTTTCCCAAAGCTTACTCACCCATCCACTACCCAGCAGTAAGGTATATAAAACTTCTACAGTCCTGGCCAGCCTCAAACACAAGCACCGCCATTAAAGGTGCATGCCACCTCATCCAGCAACACTTTTTTTAATTTTTTGAGACAGGGTCCCTGTGTAGCCTTGACTGTCCTGAAACTCACTCTGTAGACCAGGCTGGCCTTATTAAGAGACCCACCTGCCTCTGCCTCCCTTTAGCTCCTCAGCTGGGACTAAAGGTGTGCACCGCCACCACCTGGTGACAACGTATCTTCTAAACATGTCTCTGCCCAATACTGACCACTACATAGAATTTCCTTGACTGAAAATGCTGGACAACTCCCACCACCTTAAACATAGGGAAACTTTTAGGGACGTTCTGGTGAAAAAAAATACAAGAGCACAAATCCACTTTTATTTATTTTCTTTCATTAGTTTAAATCCGGGAAGGGTACAGCATCTGGGGAAAAAGAAAAGCATAAAAACATTAGGTGGATGTTAATAAACTTACAAATCATTGAATATACGATGAGGATAAATATCCCATTACCTGATTACTCATCCCAAAATGTCCCTGGTGATTTATATCCTGACAGTAAGGAAGTTTAGTTTGAACAGCATTTGGCCTTTAGGAAACAGGCTTAGGTACTAACACTCACTTTATATATACACACACTCATCTACTTGTGGCTCATTCATTTTTTCCAAAGGCTTTTCACCTCGTTTTGAGATAGGAAGGTCTCTCATCCAATGAACTTGGAGTTTACAGACTGTCCCATAACACCAAGGACCTTCTGTCTCCCCAGTGCTAGGATTTCAGACACACCGCTGCGCCCGAATTTTTATGTGGCTTCTGGGGAAAGAGCTTAGGACTTCACTCTTGTGCAGCAAGCTTGTACCACCTGAGCCATCTTCCCAGCCCCAAGAACCAGCCCCCTCTCCACACTTCAGCACAAGGTGTTATGAATTCTAGCTATAATCAGGCCCCGAGCTGAGCTATCACCCCCAGCCCCTCAAACAGCATTCAAAACCCTAACACAAATTTGCAAGGGAAGGTGAAATGGCTCAGCGTGTACAGACACTCGACACCATGTCTGACCACATGGAGTTAGATTTCTCAGAAGTGCCTGCCATAATGGAAGAGCTGACTCCCCAAAATTGTCCTTTGACCTTTACATACTGCTGTGACACACGTGCCCATATACATACACATAAATGTAAAATAGCAGCCCTAAAATATAAAGCCAGGTATGGTGGCACTGAGTCTAACATTATCACCATTATAGTGTACCTATGGACACTAACTAAAGAAAAAACAATTGGCAAAAACATCACCTCTTTTTTTTTTTTTTTATTGGTTTTGGAGACAGGGTTTCTCTGTGTAACAGCCCTGGTTGTCCTGAAACTTGCTCTGTAGACCAGGCTGGCCCAGCTGTGCACCACCATGCCCAGCTAAATCTCATCATTTTAAATCTAAGACTAGGGTCCAAGTCCTGAGACCTAGAACGAGCATGCTTCCCACATATTCTGGGGTATAGACATGACAGACACGGCAAAACATATCATAACACCCCCCCCCACTCCCCAAAACATGTATGATGTAAGAAGAGCCTGGTAGCATTGGCCTAAAATCCCAGCTACTTGGGAGGCTGAGGCAGGAGGACCTCTAAGTTCAAGGCCTACCTGGGCTAGGGCGAGTTTCAAGACCAGAGTGACTACTCAGTGGGACCTTGTTTCAAAATAGTCTTGCCTACATAACAAGTCCCAGGCCAACCAAAGCTACAGTAAGACCTGTCTCAAAGTCACAAGCAAAATCCTGTCCAAGGTATTTCTCTTGCCAGCCAGCTTAGCAAAACCTGAAACTCATACAATTCATCGGAGCACCTACCTTCACGGGGCTTCACTCTGCCAACACTCTAAGCTTCTGTAACACCTTTCCCTTAGGTCACTAATTCATAGCAGTTTTACACTCACAAAAATCTTTAGAGGTAGGCAGTAAGATCCCCCCTTGAACTTATTTAGCCATTTATGTTGCTATTTGTACTCACCACACGGATTCTGTGTCCGATGGCCTTTGCAGGAAGGTTGCTTCGGAATTTGGCACGAACCATGCCACTGTTTCCATGGGCCCGGGTTACTTTTCCCCAGATCACTCTGGTTTTGTTTGGTTTGCCTCCAGGTGTCACTGTGTTGCTGGTTTTTAAAGGACACAAGTGTGAGAGCCAACACCAACATAACTTGACACAATTCAGTTATTTCCTAGGACTAGGGGCCTTCACCTCTAGTTTTCCCCCACAGAATCCCCCGAGAAATTGAAAAAAACATATATAGAATATTCATTCAGCAGTTCATACACGCCAAACAATTTTTATAGGACTATGACTAAGGACAAAGGATCTGCGTGTTCTAAAAAACATGAAAAGTTTTAAAGATACTGGGATGAGGCTCACTTGGGCTAAAAGAAAAAAAATGGAGACTTGGCTGCACAAGTCACCAGAGAACTGAGTATAACTGGATGTAATGAACCACTGGAGTCCTGGCTGGCATGGAACTCAGAGACACTCCCCTTACTCTACCTCCCAAATGCTGGGATTAAAGGCATGCATCACTGGGGTTTTAAACATACTCATGACGTATCAGTGTGTCTAAGGCTTTATGTTCAATTCCCAGTATGAGAGGGACAAGAGAACCACTGCAGTATCCATCTTAAAGCACACACGCTTTTAAAAAAAAAGACACACAAAAACAGCCTAAGGAATTGAAATGAATCAAGATACTTTGAAAAGTATTCTGTAAGGCCTTTTGGTGGAAGGGGGTTATTAACAGCTGTAATCCTTTTTAACCGTGTTAGACACTGAACCCAGGGCCTTTCTACAACTGTAATTTTTCTAAGAGCCAATGTTGCCGATATTGAATACCACCGACAAAAGGATTCTTCTGTAATTCCCGATAAAGTTCTTCAAGGTCTCTAACCAGAATCAACAGCATCAAATTTTCACCAACATCTCTGCTTTTTCAGTAGAAAAATGAGGAAGAAATCAACTAGCAATTAAAAGGCACCAAAACACACTTACTTTTTTGCTTTATACACATAAGCACATCTCTTGCCCAAGTAGAATTCAGTTTCATCTCGAGCATAAACACCTTCAATTTTAAGAAGAGCTGTGTGCTCTCTCTGGTTCCGGAGACCTCGCTTATAGCCAGCAAAAGTGGCCTTGCACTAAAGCCTAAGACACACAAGATAAACATTACGAGTAAACTACCCCAACTTTTCATTGAGCTTTTAGCAAACCACCACGATTTGTTTTGCAGGAACTCCTACTCCAGCCATCCACCGCAAAGATCTTGCTCCCCTCCCGCGTTATTTTCAACGTGGGCTTCACATCTGAAGATGAAAATCCCGTAAAAAGCAACTGTACGGAGTCGCGTACCTTCCAGACATATTTGCCTTTTAGAAGTCCTGTTCCCAGCAGGCCTGAAAACAAACAAGATCGCGAATTAAAGCCACGCAGCAGCACGTTCCCCGACACGTCAACTCCCGTTCTTCAGCGCGCTGGGTGAATTCAGTAACCTTTCAAGGATTGGGAACTCAACGCCTGTCACACCATCCACGGAAGCACGGGCCCGGGAAAACGCTCGGACTGCTGAGAGTGACTGACCACCAACTACTCCGGAACGTGGGCAGGGGGCTGGCTGCGGGGGGAGAGCCACTCAAGAGCTGACTCCCAGAGACCCCGTGAGGTGAGCACGCAAGCTCCGGCTCTGAGCGGGGAAACCGGCTTCCGGGGCGAGCAAGACGGGCACGCTGTGCCCATTCTCCCGTCCGGAGCCCGAGGACCAGCCGCTAGACTAGCCAACTCTCCTCCCCAGGACCGGGGGGCCTCGACACCATCGGCCCCTCATCTCCTCCATCCCGCGCCCCCTCTTCCCGGAACCCCCAGAAATCCATGGCGCTCGGGGTCGGGGGGGGGCCTCGGTGAGCGACGCCGACCAACCCACCCCGGGAATCGGCCCGCAAAGCTCCGCGGCGGGGACCTCCCTCACCTTCACCGGCGCCAAGATGGCGGAAAGAGGGCGGGCGGGCCCGCCGCGCGGCCTTGTGGGAGGCACGCCCCGCCCCTCTCCGCGCTTAGGCGGCTTGCACTGCGCCGGAGCGCCAGGGTCGGGGAAGAGGCTCGACTCAGCCGAGCCACGCTCCGGAACTTTACTCTCTTCTCCCGTTCTTTCATCTCTGCAAGCGGCCACACGTATTACTTCGAAACAAACGAGCAAACAAACAAAAAGGCAAAATTGTAGTCTACTAAGAAAAAGGCAAAGGTCCTACGGGAGGGGAAAAAAAACGGACGCCTGCGCGTTGCCATAGCTACGCCTTAGTTTGGGTCCCGCTTCCTGCCGGGCTGGTAGAAAGGTGAGGAAAAGTATAATGTTTCTTTCCTCTCCCTAGAATGGAGATTGGGATCCTACCATAGAGGACAGAAAAACCTGGAGCACAAAGGCAGGGGGAACGCTCCCTTCTCTTTGCTCTCTTATTTTCTCCCATCTAAACCTTTGTCGTTCAAGAAACAAACAGGGCATGGTGATCCTTGCCCGTTAATCTCAGCACTCGTTCCGGAGGCTGAGGTAGGAGGATCACGTCACGAATTCGAGGCCAGGCTGAGTTAGATAGCAAGGTCCCATTTTTTTTTTTTTTTTTTTTTTTTTTAGAGCTGAGGATCGAACCCAGGGCCTTGTGCTTGCTAGGCAAGCGCTCTACCACTGAGCTAAATCCCCAACCCTCAAGGTCCCATTTTAAACAACAGCAACAAAGACATACGAGGTAAACCACGGGTCGCGGTGCTTGCTTGTAATCCCGGTATTCTGGATGCTCAAGCATCGTCTGCTACAGAGGGAGTGCCAGTCAGCCCGAGGCATATGAGATCCCTTCTCAGAAAGAGGAAAGTGAGAGATAGATGTATAGATAGATAGATATTCGTCCTTCCATCCTTTGCTTGACTTGTCGAGTGAGAATGAACTTAGTGGAGTCAGATTCACAGTTCGTAACTGTTGCACATTAGTTGAGTCTGACTGATGGATTCATTCATTTATTCAGCAAGTAATGTTTTGCATGACTACCAACCACTACCGAGAATGGTGTGGGCTTGGAGGGCGCTGCAGTAAACCAACAAAAATTTCTCCCTCATGCAGCCTACATGGAGGAGCAAACTGGGCATGTTGGCTCTTGTGTCTGTAATCTCTGCACTTGGAAGGCTGAAGTATGAAGATCAATTTATGTTTCAGGCCAGTCAGAGGTACATAGTGTGTACAAGGATATCCTGGGCTACAGAGTAAGATCCCCCTCCCCCATCTCACTGCCCCCAACAAAAAACCCAGGACGACAAGCAGATAGAACATGTGGCATGTTCGAAGGTGATAACTTCCTTAAAAAACCAACGACAAAAAAAAAAAAAAAAAAACCTGTTTATGAAGATGGGTGGTGGTGGCACACGCCTTTTAATCCCAACACTCAAGAGGCAGAAGCAGGAGGATCTCTGAATTGAAGGCCAGCCTGGTCTACAGAGCCAGTTCCAGGACAACCAGGGCTACACAGAGAAACCCTGTCTTGAAAAAACAAAACCAAAAACTTGTTTATGCATACATGTGTATGTCCCGTGCATGTGGGTGCTTTCAGGGGTCAGAAGAGAGCCTCAGATACCCTGGAGCTGGATTCACATGCTGTTTTGTTTTTTTTTCCAAAGAGGGACTAGGCTGGAGATATGACTCAATGGTTAAGAGCACATATTGCTTTTGAAGAGGTCTAGGGTTTGATTCTCAGCATCTACATCACAACTACCTGTAATTTCAGGTCTAGAGAATCTTGTGGTCTCCTGTATGTACATGGTGCATATAGGGACAAATAGGCACACAAACATATGTAAAAAAAAAATTAACAGTAAAGACAGTGTCTCATGTAGCTTAGGCTGGCCCCAAACTCCCTATATTAAGCCAAAGAAAGCCTTGAACTCTTGATTCTGCACCCCACCACCACCACTTTCCAAGTACTGGGATTACAGACTTTTGCCACGGTGCCCAGCTCTGAAGGATAATAACTTATTAAACTGATTTCCAGGATTCATAGTTTTTCTGGGGCTGGAGAGATGGCTCAGCCATTAAGAGCACTGGCTGCCCTTCTGGACCCACTGGACCCAGGTTCAATTCCCAGCATCTACATGGCAGCTCACACTTGTCTGTAACTCTGGTTCCAGGGGATCCAGCACTCTCACACATTCATGCAAGCAAAACACCAATGCACGTAAAAATTAATTAATCTTTATAAAAAAAACAGTTTTTTCAAATGTAATCTCAATTGTTCTAAGTCACAGTACAGTAAATTCTGTTATCTGACAGAACAGGGTAGACTCCTTTAATTCAATATAGAGGAGAGAATAATGGAAAAAATTAAGTAATAACAAAATAAATCTGTTTTATAGTGATTACCAATTAAAAATCAGAACACAATGACACATACTAAAATTGTCCTTAAATTACCTTAAGAAGAGGCAAAAGACTGCATTCTGTTTTGGAGGACCAATAATGAATCCAACCAAGAATAAGCCTGCAGACCTGTGTGCCTGCTCTACCAAGGAGAAGGGGGTGAACCACAGCTCTTGTAATTCTGTGATTTTTTTTCTCCTAGTAAAAGAACATGGGAATAAAGAAAACAGGATTCAGCATTCTCTCGAACTAATAACATTTTTTTCCCATTTTAGGTTACTGCATTCTTGTGAAATTATAAATCTACCCCAGAGGGCAAGAGAACTGTCGCAGGAAGAATGGAAGGGTGTGTTCAAAATTCCAGTTTGTTTGTATTTATAGTATTACATGATATGTAATAATTAAATTCTGTGGATTATCTGTCTCTATGTAACAAACTATTGTTGTGGAATATTACTTTAACTAGGCAAAGATGTGTTACATGCTGCATTTGTTTAACGATGTAAAGGTGTGTGTTTAACTATGTAAAGATGTGTTGCATTTGTTTCACTTTGCCTGCCTAAGGCACCTGATTGGTCTAATAAAGACCTGAAGGGCCAATAGCCAGGCAGAGAAAGGACAGGTGGGGAATGGAAGGCAGAGAGAGTAAGTAGGAGAGAAGAACAGAGGGAATGAGGGAGAAAGAGAGAGACATGCCAGGGGCCAGAAGCCAGGCAGCCACCAGCCAGCCAGACACCAGAAACAGAAAGTAAGATATACAGAAGGAAAGAAAAGTAAAAAGCCCTGGAGGCAAAAGGTAAAGAGAAACAGCTTAATTTAAGTTAAAAGAGCTAGCCAGAAATGAGCCTAAGCTAGGCCGAGCATTTATAACCAATAAGTTTCCATGTCATGATTTGGGAGCTGGTTGGTGGCCCAAAAGAAAAAGCCAGGTACAAACTGCCCCCAAATGTAATGACCTAAAATATAAAGATCTACCATCTCAGAATTCCGGTGGGTCTGGAGTTTGGGACCAGCTTAGCAAATGGTTCTGGTATGGGAGTCTGTGCTCGTTAACCCTCTCAATTGCTGGGACAAAATACCGGAGAAGAAGCCGTGTAAGGGAAGAAATAAAAAGCTTTGTTTTGGCTCACACTTTGGGGGAGAGTCTGTTATGGAGGGAAGGCTTGGCATCAGGAGCAGAGGGACTGGTCACGTGGCATCCACAGTCAGGAGACAGAGAGAGACATAAAGGCTGAGGCTCAGCTCCATTTCTCCTTTTTATTCAGTCCATTTAAGGTGAGTCTTCCCATCTCAAGTATCCCAGTCCTAGAAAATCCTCCACAGCCATGTCCAGAGGTTTATCTGGTGAGTCTAGATCCAGTGAAGTTGACAGTATTAACCAGAAGGTCGAAGCTAACCAGGGGTAGCTTAAGTGTCCCCATGACAGACAAGGCACGCTGCTTCCCTGGGAGTGACCTTTGGAGTGAGGGCGAAGCTGCCATGCTATTTACCATTTGTCTGGAAATCACACTCTTCCTTTCTACAGACCCTCCCGGTTTCCCCTACTCAGCGCAGGAAAACCACACACACAGGCATAAGGACCAGGAAGAGTTATCTGGGCCACCTTAGAGGCTGGCTCCCATATCCTGTCTTTCAGTAATCATGAGGCACTTTTGATTAGCATCTAAATATGGTGCTTTCAAATAAAGTTAATTGTGGCTCAAATTCAAATTGCATTAGCATAGCAAAACAGCATAGACTGTATGGCTTTGCCAGCCAATACGTTGTCTTTGGTTGGTCCTACTGAAGGGTCTCTGGAAAAATCTCCTGCAAACAGCTGCCTTTGTTTTTTATAGAGGTTATGTTCTCTGACAGAGTGAACTTAGGGTCAATGTACATGCTGCCTGTGTTTTTGAGGGTCAGTCATATTTCCACATTGACCTCTGACTTCATCTGTCTTTTCTCGTAGCCTTAGGGACCAGCTGGAAGCCTTGGACTTCTCTTCAGAAGCTTTGCACCCTGAGGTGACCGTGGTAGTGACAGGAGAACCACCTGGCGCTATAGAAGAAGAATCAGAAAATGAAGAGGAGGAAGAAACCCCTGCAGAAGTCATAGATTCACTGTCCCTGCTGGACGTGCTGAGGGTCTCCGCAGTTATGGAGGACATCATCGACCAGCTCTCTATCCTAAGCTACATCATCCCAGTGCAGTACGAAAGGAGGCAGAGCGTCAGCCAGGTCAGCAGCCTCGCCCGGGTGCCGGCTCCTTTTCTTTCCTGTTGACCTCTCCAGCATTTGTATGACTTGTGTCAGTAAACTTAGCTTGTGAAGCAGCACCTTTATGTCAGATAAAAGGCCACACCACAGTTATCTGAGGTCCGTACTCCAAATGGAGAAAGTGGCGTATAGCTCAGGAAGTACACTATACCGTTGCAATATATTGGCATTAGTCCAAAAGGCCCAAAGCTCAGTCCGTATAAGTACAGCACAGACAACCTTCAGTGGACACAGATTCTGGATCTCTGAATTCAACCAACCCCTGCTAAAAAATATTTGGGAAAAGTTTGGTCTTTACTGGATGCGTCGACTTTTTCCCGTCGCCATTCCTAAACAATTCAATATAACAACTGTTGTACACTGTATTCGCCGATATAAGAAATCTAGAGCCTACTTAAAACATAGAGACTATTTGCATAGCTTGTATGCTAACATTGCATCAGCTTTACTTAAGGGGCTTGAGTATCCAGGGGTGCCCCAGAACCTATCCTATGGATGTTGTGGTGGGGCCACTGTGCATATACTGAGATCATGTGTTAGTTTCCTGAGATCAAAGGTCCCACCTATCTTGTATCTCTTGGTTGCTAAAAGCCAACAGGACACTAGGGGGAGGAAAGTCATCTGGACACTCTTAGCATTGCTTTAGTCAAAAATAACTCTGCTGTTGTTGCTGAATATGTTGCGCCCTGCTTTTGCAAATATCAGGGCCCGTTACCATGTCAACAATCATATTTTCAATGGTGGCTTGGACTTCCGGGCCCCACTGAGCTCGTGTCTGTAATCTTAGCACTGGCCATGCAGAGACAAGAAGATTCAGGGAGTGTGAGTAGCCTGCTCCACCTAGAAAGTTCCAGGCCAGGCTGCTGAGATGGTTCAGTGGGTAAAGGTGTGTGCTACCAAGCTTCCTGACCTGAGTTTGATCCCTGGGACTCACAATTGGAAGAAAGAACTGATTTCCATAAGTTGTCCTCTGACTTCCAAACCCACTGATCACATGACCGTTCCAAATCAAAAAGTAAATGTAATTTTTTTAAAGATTTTTTTTTTTAAGTGTATGGGTATTTTGCCTGAATGTATGTATGTGAACCACATATATGCCTGGTGCCCAAGGAAGCCAGAAGAGAGTTATGGATTCTTTGGAACTGGAGTCACAGATGGTTCAAGACAAAATGTGGGTTCTAGGAACCGAACCTGGGTCCTCTGCTAGGACAGCAAGTGTTCTTAACCTCTGAGCCATCTCTCCAGTCCCATAAATATAATTTTTAAAATATATTTTTGCCAGGTGGTAGTGGTGGATGCCTTTAATCCCAGCACTTGAGAGGCAAAGGCAGGTGGATGCCTGAGTTCGAGGCCAGCCTGGTCTACAGAGTGAGCTCCAGGACAGCCAGGGCTACACAGAGAAACCCTGACTCGTATAGGTATGCGTGCAAACACACACACACACACACACACACACACACACACACACACACACACACACACACATTTTTTTTTAAAGAAAGTTCTAGGCCCACCAGGACTACATAGTGAGATTCCCATCTCATAAAAGAAACAACAACAGAAACTTAACTTGATAGGGAATAAAGTCTTTTAAATTGCCAATGACATAGGTTGTAGATATAAAATGAAAACAATTAATAAATACACTAACTTTAAAAAAATTGCCAGGTAGCCAGGCATGGTAGCATATACCTTTAATCCCAGCACTCAGGAAGCAGAGGCAGGTGGATCTCTGAGTTCAAGGCCAGCCTAGTCTACAAAGTGAGCTCCAGGACAGCCAGGGCTACACAGAGAAACCCTGCCTCAAAAAAAAAAAAAAAAAAAAAAAAAATTGCTGGGTGGTGGTTCACGCCTTTGATCCCATCACTTGGAAGGTAGAGTTGGGAGGATCTCTGAGTTCAAGAACAGCCTGGTCTACAGAGCTAGTTCCAGGACAGCCAGCGCTATGCAGAGAGAGACCCGGTCTCAAAAAAATTAAAAATAAATAAATAAAATACGATTTGTAACAGGGTATATTATTTCTGATCCTATGACCAGTAAAATCCGCTATGTTTGGGAGAGAATAAATTGCTTCCCATGTCTAATAGAGAGTTCAGACTAGGAGAAGAAAATGAAAATTTTCTCTAATTACCCTTTACAGTTTTTATTCCTTAAAGATTTATTCTTTTTAATTGTGGGGTGCGTGTGTATTTGAGTATAGTTACCACCTGGCTTGGATGCTAGGATTCAAACGCTGGTCCTCTGAAAGAGCAGTTTGTGTTTGTGTGTCTGTGTGTGTCTGTGTCTGTGTTTGTGTCTGTGTGTCTGTGTGTGTGTGTGTATGTCTATGTGTATACACACACAGCCACATGGGGAAATGAAAGGTCTTATTTTTTTTTTATTTATTTAATTTTTTTTAGATTTTCCGAGACAGGGTTTCTCTTCGTAGCTTTGTGCCTTTCCTGGATCTCGCTCAGTAGACCAGGCTGGCCTCGAACTCACAGAGATCCACCTGGCTCTGCCTCTCGAGTGCTGGGATTAAAGGCGTGCGCCACCACCACCACCCCCCACCCCACCCCCCACCCCCGGCTGAAAGGTCTTATTTTTTGAGACAGGGACTTTTACTGAACCTGGAGCTCACTTATTTGACTATACTAGCTGCCTAGCCAGTTCCCATGATCCCCCTGTCTCCGCCTCCCTAGGATTGAGGTTGCCAGCATGTATAACTACATCTGGGTTTTTGTTTTGTACATGAGTGCTGGGAATTAGAATCAATGCCCACTGCATCGTCTCTCCAGCTCCTAAAGCTCAGAAGTTTAAACCAGGTCTCCTGGATCATGTTTATAATCCAAGAACTTGGGAGGTGGAAGCAGGAGGAACTTGAATTCAAGGCCAGGCTGGGCTACAGCACCATGCCTGTCTGTCTTTAAGAGTAGTTTAGTGCCATTAATGCTCAATGAAAACCTTAAGCTGGTGAACAGTGTTCAGGGAGGTCATTACTCTGAGAAACAAACAAGTAAACTCTTGTAGTCTTACTCTGGTTTATGATAGTGATCTTTCACCTACGAGATTTTCTGGCATAACAGGAGCCCTCCTTGTGATGTCATTTCCTTAAAACAACTCATTTGTATTTTGAAGTGTGTGTGTGTGTGTGTGTGTGTGTGTGTGTGTGTGCCCATTTGTGTGCAGGTGCATGTGTTCTCTCCTAGGTGAGGTCTGAACTTACATATACACTTACCCAGATCATGAGAGTAGAAGGGACCACGATGAGGGAGAAGGGAGTTTGGGGGCTGGGAACCAGAGAGTAGGGTCAGGAGAGGAAGAAAATGATCACGTTTTCTCCTACGTTTCCATGCCCCCTCCCTATATAATTTCTGAAATAGTAACTTATTTTGCCAATGGGAAAGCAGAGCTACAGAAATTTCAAATAGTTACCTAAAGTCAATACGGTTAGTAAAAGACAGAGCCAGGGTTCAAAAGTGTAAGCACTGTCAGCAGCCCAAGCAGTCAGCCACAGGTAAAAGAAGAATCATCGATCGGGAGGTAGACGCATGCTGTCTCTGGTTCCTCAGTACTCGACTTTAGGTCTGAAAAATATTTTGGCTTTTCCTGTATAACCCTCAGGATCTAAACTACATCACTAAATCGGATCCAACTTTCACTTTTCAGTACAATTCTCCTTTTATTTTGCCTAGTTTTTGAATTGTTCTGTTGTGTGTCTCACTGGGTTGTCTGGGGTAGCACTGAACTTGAGTGCCCTGGCGACTGCTCTCCTCGTATCTGAGACCACAGGTGCGTGCCACCATGCCGTCTGTGTATTTCAGATCTGTGTGTTTCTGAACGTTGAATTTCTGACGAGTCCTAGGCATTGTGCTAAGCAATGCCTAAAGATGACCATATTTATATCCAACCTTACTCTCCGGAGAGAATTTGAGATGAAAGAAATTTAAGAAATAGGGATTGGCCGGGCGGTGGTGGCGCACGCCTTTAATCCCAGCACTCGGGAGGCAGAGCCAGGCGGATCTCTGTGAGTTCGAGGCCAGCCTGGGCTACCAAGTGAGTCCCAGGAAAGGCGCAAAGCTACACAGAGAAACCCTGTCTCGAAAAACAAACAAACAAAAAAAAACAAAAAAAAACAAAACAAAAGAAATAGGGATTAACTCAGAATCTGACATGTCCAGGCACAAAGCCCCATGTGCCATCCCCAGTACAGAAAGAAAAAAGTAAAAAAGAAAGAAAGTGGGGGGGGGGGGGGGGGGCGTGCGTGCTGGAGAGATGGCTCAGTGGTTAAGGACACTGGCTGTTCTTCCGGAGGACCGGAGTTCAATTCCCAGCACCCGAATGGCAGCTCAAAACTGTCTGTAACTCCAGTTCCAGGGGATCTGACACCCTCACACCAATGTAAATTAAATAAAATTAAGAGAGAGAGAGAGAGAGAGAGAGAGAGAGAGAGAGAGAGAGAGAAGGAAAGGAGGAAGAAATAAAAGAAAGAATTTGTAGTGAGCCCATACTGTTAAGACACTGTCTCTCCTCTCACAGAACCCATAATCTGATTTTGGCATTTTATACTTATAATATGGTAAATTTACAAATCACTGTGTGTTTTTGTTTATTTAGTTTTTTATTGTTTATTTTTGGATTGTTGCTTTGCAGTTTCAAGCAGGGTCTCCCTTAGCCCAACCTGGTCTGAAACTTAATATCCTGCCAGTGGTGATCCTGAACTCCTGATCTCCATCCTCCACCTCCCAGGTGCCAGGATGCCGGAACCATCGTACTCTACCACTTCCACCTTTTGTGATGCTGGGGGTTGGCTCTAGGGCCTTGCACACAATAGGACGTATTCTACCATGGGCCTCCATCCTCAGCCCTAAGCTTTACCGTCGTTGCCTTATAGTTCACCAGGTGGTAAGTTAGGGGGTGATGGAGAGAATGTGTGAAGGCCGGAAGACAGGAAACAGCAGGGTAAGTGGTTTGATGGGCCCGAAGGCAGGGTCTGTTTCCTTGGAGTATGGAATGTAAGTGGAGAAAAAGGTTGAAAAAGAGATATAGGTCCTTTTAGTGTTGTCTCTTCCCTTTAAGACAATCTCTTTTAAAAGTTTCTTTTTAAGATTTATTTAATTTTTTATGTGTGTGAATGTTTTGTCTGCATGTATGTCTGTGTATCACGTACACCCGCAGAGGGCCGAAGAGGGCGTGTGGATCCTCTGGAACCAGAGTTACAGATGGTGGTGAGCCACCACATGGGGGCTGGAAGTCGAACCCAGGTCCTCTGCAGGAACAAGCACTCTTAACTGCTGAGCCATCTCTACAGCCCCTAAGACAGTATCTTTAACTTCATTTATTTTTAGAAATCCAGCCACGAAGGAACATCTGTGGTCTCAAGTACAAGGAAAACATCTCTTACTAAAGAAAGATCCACAGTCCCAGAAACCAAACAACGAGGCCTGGATTCTATCCTTAAAAAACCTACAAGACAGACCATGATGACTCTGGAGACACTGAAGAAGATTGAGAACGACAGGTGAGAAGAGAGAATAGATTTGGGGAGGTAATGACACCAGCCAGGAAGTGTGAAGGGGACTACCAGCTTCTGGGGGTTAGTATCGTGTTCAGTGACCACTGATAATAGGCTTAGCTGAAGGTCCCCTAAGATAGAGTGGTGCAGTTTAAAACATGGCCAGCCTGGTCTACAGAGTGACTTCCAGGAGAACCAGGGCTATGCAGAGACACCCTGTCTCAAAAGACGAAAAACTAGCCGGGCAGTGGTGGCGCACACCTTTAATCCCAGCACTCGGGAGGCAGAGACAGGTGGATCTCTGTGAGTTCGAGGCCAGCCTGGTCTACAGAGTGAGTTCAGCCTGGTCTACAGAGTGAGTTCCAGAAGAGGCTCCAGAGCTGCAGAGAGAACCCCTGTCTGGAAAAACCAAAAATCAAAAACCAAAAAAAAAAAAAAGAAAAGAAAGAAAAATCAAAACAACAAACAAAAACCGCACACACGCAGAGAAACCCCATGGTGCTGTATTATCTTGGACAAGTTAATGAGACTTTGTTTCTTCCTTTCCTCCTACCCCCCACCTCCTCCCCTCTCCCCCCTTTTCTCTTCTTTTTTTCTTTTGTTCTCCCTCCCTTCCTTCCTTCCTTCCTTCCTTCCTTCCTTGCTTGCTTCCTGGTCTGTCTTTCTCAGAGTCTCTAGTCCCAAGTGGTCTGAACTCACAGTGTAGACCAGGCTGGCCTCAAACTTCTGGGGCTCTTGCTGTCTCCTGAGTGCAGGGCTTACAGGTCTGCACCACCACATCTTATTTTAGTTTGTAACTTTAAATACTGGAAACTTCTTTCTTTCTTTCTTTCCTTCTTTCCTTCTTTCTGTCTTTCTTTCTTTCTTTCTGTCTGTCTGTCTGTCTGTCTTTCTTTCTTTCTTTCTTTCTTTCCTTCTTTCCTTCCTTCCTTCCTTCCTTCCTTCCTTCCTTCCTTCCTTCCTTTCCTCCTCCTCCTCCTCCTCCTCCTCCTCCTCCTCCTCCTCCTCCTCCTCTTCTTTTCTGAGACAGGGTTTCTCTGTGTAGCCCTGGCTGTCCTGGAACTCGCTTTGCAGACCAGGCTGGCCTCGAACTCACTGAGATTCGCCTGCCTCTGCCTCCTGAGTGCTGGAATTAAAGGCGTGTGCCACCACTGTCTGGCAGAAACTTTTTTCTTAAAGAGCTGTTAAACCTTTTTGTATGAACTATTGTTAATAAGTGTAAAATGATAAATATAATTTTCCAATTCTGTATTGAAACAAATAGTAAGTTTAATTTTGTTTAGATTTAATTGATGTGTGTGTGTGTGTGTAGGAGTTTTGCCTGCATACTTGTATGTGGACCATGTGTGTGCCTCGTGCCTGGTTGTGAGCTGCCGTGTGGATGCTGGGAACCAAACCTGGATGTTCTACCAAAGCAGCCAGTGCTCTTGACTGCCCCCTGAGCCGGCTCTCCAGCCCTGGCTTTCTTCTTTCCTCCTCCTCCTCCTCCTCCTCCTCTTCCTTTTTTTTTTTTTTCTGGTTGTTCTTGTTTTGTTTTGTTTTGACAGAGTCTCACTATGGAACTCTGGTTGTCCTGGAACTCACTATATAGACTAGGCTGGCCTTGAACTCACAGAGATCTGTCTGCCTTTGCCTTCCTAATGCTGGGATTAAAGGCATGTGCCACTATGTCCAGCTAGCTTCTAGTTTTCTTTTTTAAAAAAATGGAGGAAAGAAAAGAAAACTAATAATTAAAATTTTTCAAAATTATGACATACTTCTTAAAGGCAGAAGTATATAATGAAATGTTAACTCTGTATGGAACTGCCAAATGGTTGCTTGTTTCTCTCTCTCTCTCTCCCTCTCTTTAAAACAAAGTCTCACATAGCCCAGGCTGACCTCAAACTTACACCATAGCAGAAGCTGACCTTGAACTATATATCATCTGGCTTACACCTTCCAAGTGCTAGGATTACAGGCGTGCACCTGTAACTCAGCATGCTTGCTTTTAAGACTGATTTATTAGCATATATTAATTTACATACAGGGTTTCATTATGACGTTGTCATTCATGTATGTAAATGTATTTGCTTCCTATTCGTCCCCCATGACCATCTCTTGACTCCCTCCCAGGCCTCCTCTTCCCAGCCGGCTCCCAATTCTACTCTTACGTTTGTTTTTTATTCTTTCTTCAGAGACCTGTGTCTCATTAGGGGTGATCACCTGAGCGAGGACAGGGCTCTTTTCCAGGACTGTGGACCCCTCTCCAGTGGCTGTGCTACGAGGAACATGTCTCCCTCTCCGCAAACCAGCATTAACCGCCCAGCTCCTCACAGGGGAGGGGAGGGTGGGGGGACCCCTGTGTGAGTCCCCTCCACTCTGTGACCTTATGTTGGGGTGCCCAGCCTTAGTCACAGCTGCTGAGAGTTCAGAGTGCAAAGGTCGTGTCAGGGCTGGAGTACCGCACTCCATAACACTGAACCCCTCTCTGCTCTCCCATTCCGTCCACCCTCCTCTTCTGAGATGTCTCTTGAGCCTGGGGAGGCAGTGGCGGAGACACCCCGCTTAGGGGTGAGCCCTCAGCAGCCACCGTTCTCTGCACCGTGGCCAGTTAGGAGTCTACATTCCCAGGTGCCCTCTGTAACAAGAGGCTACAGTAGGGGCTGGAGAGAGGGTTCCGAGGTTAAGAGCACTGGCTGCTCTTCCAGAGGTTCTGAGTTCAATTCCCAGCACCCACATGGTGGCTCACAACCATCTATAGTGAGATCTGGTGCCCTCTTCTGGCCTGTAGACGTGTGTGCAGGCAGAGTACTGTATACATAATAAATAAATAAATCTTTAAAAGAAGGAAAAAGAGACTACAGCAGCACTGATCTGTGGGCAGCAGAAATAGCTGGAAGGCAGCGTGACGGGCACATGTCAACTTTCTATTTTTTCTTTTCTTTTTGGATGTGTGATGTGCACATATATGAGCATAGTTTTTGCATGTGTGGGTACATGTGCACATATGTGTGTGTATGCACACAGAGGCCTGAGATTGATGTCGAGAGTCATCTTCCCTCACTTTTCTACCTTATTCATTGAGGCAGTCTCTCGGTGAAACCTAGAACTCTGGTTAGCTAGCCAGCTTGCTCCAGGAGGGCCCTCCTCCTTCCTTGCTAGAGCTGGAATTACAAGCAGGTCGCCACACCCACCCTGCATTTCCGTGGGTTCGGGGAATCTGAACTTTGGTCTTGTCACTCATATAGCGAGCACTTTATCTGTTTTGCTGTCTCCCAAGCCCCTGTTTCTTTTTTTGGGACAAGGTCTCTGTAGCCTAGGCTGACCCCAAAGCTGCTATGTAGTCCAGGCTGGCCTTGAACTGTGGCGGTCCTTCAGACTTCCGACAGCTGGGGTTACAGGTGTGAGCCAACATGACCAGCCCCTTCCGGCTTTTAACTGGTGTGGCTTCTGCAGCTCTGTGAGAGTGGGGCAGTGTGTCTTCTGATATTACTCCGTTTGTCCCCTTTGCAGGCAATATTTGAGTGACGTGATTGCCAACACCATGAGGGAGATGCAGGATTCGGGTTCTTTCAAGAGTCTCCTGGAAGCCTTGGACACAGAAAGAGATAAAAAGATGCACTTCCACGAAGCCATCACAAGGTCAGGGTGGTGATGGCTTTATCTGCTTCGGTTCTCTTTTTAGAAGTCCTCTCGCTATGCTTTTCAGGCAGTTCTTAGACCCTAGGAGTTCCTCCTGCCTCAAAGTAGCTGGGACTACAGGCATGTGCCAGGCATCCTGGTCTGCTTTGCAGTGTCTCTTTTCTCACATGTGTGTGTACATGGTGTGCATGTGTGTGTATGCATGCTTGCTCGTGTGGGGACACATGTCTGTATATGGGTGCGTGCGTGCGTGTGTGTGTGTGTGTGTGTGTGTGTGTGTGTGTGTGTGTGTAGGCCTGAGGTTGATGCTGGGAATCTTTCTTGAGGGTCCCCCCCCCCCCCCCCCGCCCATTCTTTGAGGCAGAATCTCTCGACTGAACCCAAAGCTTACCTGTACAGCTAGTCTGGCTGCTCCGGGGTTACCCTGTCTCTGCATTCGGAGTGCTGGGATTCCTCCACAGTGGGTTGTAGCCGGATGCTACTGCACCTGGCTTTATGTGGGTCCTGGGTCTCCAAACTCAGGACCACACTTCATAGCCAGCACTTTACCTACTGGGCCATCTCTCCAGGCCCTGCTCTGCAGTGTTTTAAGGTGGTATAAAACTCTTCGCAGAAGACCTTGATTTCTCAAGCATCAAACATGTACTTTCTAGTTATTGCTGGAAGGCAGACCATTGGGTTCTGAGCTCCTGCATATTCCTAACCCAGGTGGAGCAATAATCCAGATTTGGGAGCCTCGGTTACTTGATTCACACTGTATTAAGGGTACTGTAACTGGGTATATGGTACAGGCTTGTAATCTCAGACACTCCGGGAGTTGAAGCAGAGGGATTGCAAGTTAGAGGCCAGCATGGTAAGTTAGTGAGACTTAAAACATAAGTGGGAGAGTGATGGCCTGGCACACAGATGGAGCCCCTGGGTCCAACCCGTGCACTGTACTAACAGCAAAGCATCGCTCCTCTGCCAAGGCGGACAGATGGAAACTCTCTGTCAGTGCCCTAGTTGTGATGTAGCTATGGGGGGCACTTTCGACACACACAGGTTCCGAGTTCGACCCACAGCACTGCAAAACGATAACACAGCAGCAAGCAAACAGCCGGTACATACCATGACATTTTCCTTCCCAGAAATGTTCAGCATGTTCCAAAGATACTCTGCACAGAACCAGGGCGGCTTGGTGGTAGAGCACCTACTTAGCATATTTGACAGGAAACAAAACAAGGCCAGGCAGTGGTGGTACACACCTTTAGTCCCAGGCAGAGGCAGGCAGGCAGATCTCCGAATTCGGGGCCAGCCTGGTCTACAAAGTAACTTCCAGGGTAGCCAGGGCTACACAGTGAAACCCTGTCTCAAAAAACAAAACAAAAACAAACAAACAAAGAAAGAAGAAGAAGAATATTCATTGGTTCCCAGCACCTACCTGGTGGCTCACAGCTGCCTCTAACTCCAGTTCCAGGGGATCTGACTCCATTCTGACCTCCATCTGCTCTTGCAGGCACATGGTGCACATACATACACTCAGACATACATGCTACACATAAAATTAAATGAATAATGAAGTGAACTTACATGCGTTAGGTTCCTGTTGCACGTGAAAGGACCGCTCCCTGCATGTAGCAGCTGCCTGATGACAGCAGCTCCTGTCATGGGCCTCGCTTGCCTGGGCCGTCCCATCTGTGGCAGAGAACTGCACATGCTGTAGCTACTGTTAGCTAAATTTATGAGAGGCCATTGTGTTGAACTGAACTCCTATCCGAGGTTCCAGAAGGCCCGACCAGAATGGCTGCATGCCAGGTAGTTAAACCAAACTTTAAAACAGGCCAGTTTTCTAAATGCCAGGAAATTCACCAACAGCCAATCAGAGATTCCAGTGAGCAGAGCTGTCATAATTGAAAAGGCAGTTCTGTCTACGGGGACCCTTTAAAGAAAGTCATTTTGAAATGATCGGTCTGCGTATTAGCCCGTGTTTCTGCTGGTTTGGCCCATTTCTGCCCAAAACGACTTGCTTTGCTACACATTACATTTGAAACTTTAGTTCCATGGTCCTGGTAGTGGAGGGAGGTGAGTCCCAGGACCAGAAAATGAAAAGAGATTCCACCCTCAGGAATAAGCAGAATAGGCAGGTGGGGAAACAGGCTGTTGATTGACAGGAGTATTTAGCTGGAGTTCATTTGACTCATGAGAGGTGAATTCAAGTCAATCCCCTGAAGCTTACAAGAATATTTTTAAGTTTAGACCCACTAGCATTCCCATTGTCTGTAATCTGTACTGAATCCACACTGTAGAAAAGGCAGTAGACTCAGGCCCGTGTATCGTAGTAAAGCTTGGGAAATGACTCTGGATTAAAGTATGAACAACACTCTGTAAGAGAGCTTGGTGAAGACAGACACCTCTCTGGAGCAGGAGGTCAAAAGCTCGCTTGATGTTGACTTTAAGCATGAATACCGGCTGTGAAAGAGGGGCTTTTGCCCTCTAACCAAAGGATGGATGTATATAGATTAGATAGACGATTTTAGTACGAGAAGCACTTTTAAGTCTATACTTAGAAGACAACCAAAGGAAATTTAAAATCTTGAGCTTGTGACCATGATAATAATGCTTTACCAGAGCTAGATTAATAGATCATCATTGATTACTATGAAAACTCTGAATTTTTGAAGTCCTAATGCAACAGTAGCCTAGCAAGGGAAAGAAATCTGAAACTTTTTCATTCTTTTTATGTACCTTAAATCACTTATCACCACTTAAGCCTCTACATCCTCCAACCGTACATGCAATGTATAACTTGCATTTTCACACCTTAAAACACCTTCCGAGACCCTAAAACATTTTCCTAGAACCTCACAACTAAAGCTTTCATATCCTCAGACCTTACCTAAACTTTATACCTTTTTTCTGTCTACCACGAGACACAGGTGGTTGATTACTGGAAGCAGTGATTGTAAAGCGAGTTCCTTTAAATAAATTAAATATTTCAATGTAAAAAGTTACATTGAAATCTGCTTTGTGAGTTTATCTCTTTTCTGAATCTGGTAGCAAAGTAAACTGTATTTAGACCTAGTAGTAGCTCTAGGAAAGTAAGGCCTGAGGCCTGACTTTTACATATGAAGAGAACTGAGGAGGCAGCAGAAGCCTTGGCTGCTGCTGTTAAACTGCCAAAGTTATTACTAGCCTAGTCATCAACATCATCAGAGACCTGAGAAGGATGAATTTTACCTGAGTAAGCAGGAAGTACAGACCAAGCAGCTTCCAAATCTATTAGAAATGACAATCCCTCTAGGTTCCTCCATGGTCATTGGGGACAGAGGTCCCAGGGCAGCATCAGTCTTTGGCTGCTAGGCCCAGAAGATCTGTCAGACTCTCCTGTGGAGGAAGATCTTGGGGGCACTGCATACTTTGTCTAGGCAAAGTGGGGCAGTGGACTCCCCAGTGTCCTGCTTGTGCACATTTTGGACAGCATCTGTTGTTTGTTTTTGCTCTTTTGGGGGGCCTGCCACCCACTCCCAAATAAATCACACATGGAGGCTTATTATTACTTATAAATGTCCAGCCTTAGCTTGGCTTGTTTCTTGTCAAGCTTTTCTTAACTTTAAATTATCCCTATCTATCTTTTGCCTCTGGACTTTTCCTGTTCTCTTACTTCTGCAAATCTTACTCTTACTATGGGGCTTGCTGTGTAGCTGGGTGGCTGGCCCTGATGTCCTCCTCCTTTGGCTATTTCTTTCTTCTCCAGATTGCTCCTTCTATATATCCTCTCTGCCTGCCAGTCCCGTCTAGCCTTTCTCCTGCCTTGCTATTGGCAGTTCAGCTCTTTATTAGACCATCAGGTGTTTTAGACAGGCACAGCAACACAGCTTCACAGAGTTAAACAAATGCAACATAAACAAAAGTAACACACCTTAAAATAATATTCTACAACAAGCATCCTGTCAGCAGACCCTTAGAGGTGAGAGGCTTTTGGGAGTGTAGAGGAGAGCAAGTTTAGCTAGAAGAGGTTGATTTGGGGATCATTTGTTTATGCCAGTTGTAGTTGTTAATGCTTTGTGAGGATTTGGAAATCAAGTTCACCAATTTTTGGCCGTTGATCTGTACTAAGGCCAAGATGTTATAAAATCTGAGTCTGTGGAGGAAGAGAGAGTCTCAAAGCAGAACACTGTGTGGGTGTGTTCCTACAAGTTCCAAGAGGAAGGTGGGAGCTGAGGCTGCAGGACTGCGGGCTGGAGCCAGAGATAGCCAGGGGAGGGCAGGAGAGAGGGAGTCACAGACTGAAAGAGCCAGAGCCACGTGGAGGACCCATGGGGCTAGAGGGAGGCATCAGCTGAAGAATTGAACTCTAGAATTTGGAATCCGATTCACAAACAAACGATCCGAACATACCTTAGGTTAGATTTGCGGACACTGCAGGGGAGAACAGATGTGTGCTGCGCACACAGCAGCTGGCCTGTTCACCTGTTCTTTTGCACACACACCCCAAGTCTGACTCTCACTCTGTCATGGTGTGGGCAGGGACCAGACAGAAACAAACAGGGCTTGGAGCGCAGAGAAAGAAATAGAGTGGAGATGGTCCCCCAATTGCTTGGTCAGTGGCATATTGAGGCAGAATTCGACTGGAAAGGAGAGGCCAGAGGGTCTCCAAAAGACACCCCAAGGGAGCAAGGAGGTGGATGACCCAGTTCCCATAGATGAGGTAGAGAGAGAGGGCCAGAGCCAAAGCCCAAGACGTCCCAAGGACCCAGGGAGGACTGAAAAAAGGCACAGGTCCAACAGTGGATCGCCACCTTCACGGTTTGGGGGCCAGGGCTAGAAGCCCAAGGAGACATGGGTGAGTGCAAAACCTGCTCAGAAGGAAGCCTCACCCAAGGGAATAGTCAGGGGCGGGTTCATCTGCCAGAGACTCAGGGAAGCACTTATGCTGACTGAGAGGGATCACTCACCAGTTGCCGGTGATGGATGGAAGGCAGAGATTGGTGGACCGGAAAGTGGATGTGTTGTGGGTGGAG